GAACATCCTGCTGGGTGAACACGCAAGACAACTGGCCATGGCTCCTCCGACTAAGGACATCAGCCACCACATTGGCTTTCCCAGGGTGGTAGCTAATGGTGCAGTCGTAGTCCTTGACCAGCTCCAACCACCTACGCTGCCTCATGTTCAGCTCCTTCTGAGTGAATATGTACTTCAAGCTCTTGTGGTCGGTAAAGATCTCGCACTTGCCTCCATAGAGATAATGCCTCCAAATCTTCAAGGCGTGGACAACAGCGGCCAACTCAAGATCATGAGTGGGATAGTTCTGCTCGTGAGGCTTCAACTGCCTCGAAGCATAGGCGACGACTTTACCTTGTTGCATAAGGACGCAACCCAAACCCATCTTCGAAGCGTCACTATAGACGGTGAACTCCAAAGTAGGGTCGGGTATGGCTAGAACCGATGCTGTAGTGAGTCTCCTCTTCAACTCCTGGAAACTCTCCTCGCACTGAGTACTCCAATCGAACCTCACGGCCTTCTTCGTAAGGTTGGTCAGCGGCTGGGCTATCTTCGAGAAACCCTCGATAAACCTCCTGTAGTATCCTGCTAGCCCCAGGAAACTACGAACATCCGCGGCACTTCTTAGCGTATCCCATTTGCTCACCGCTTCGATCTTGCTGGGATCCACCTCAATGCCTCGAGCGGTCACTATGTGGCCAAGGAATGCCACACGCTGCAGCCAGAATTCGCACTTCGAGAACTTAGCATACAACTTCTCGCGGCGAAGAGTCTCAAGCACAATCCTTAGATGCTCCTTGTGCTGATCAACATCTCGGGAATAGACCAGAATGTCGTCGATGAACACAATGACGAACTGGTCCAGGAAAGGATGAAAGACCCTATTCATAAGGTCCATGAAGACGGCCGGGGCATTACTGAGTCCGAAGGGCATGACAACGAACTCATAGTGGCCATAGCGAGTACGGAAGGCAGTCTTGGAAATATCAGACTCTCGGATCTTCAGCTGATGATAGCCAGAACGCAAATCGATCTTGGAGAAGACGCTGGCTCCCCTCAGCTGGTCGAAAAGGTCCTCGATACGGGGAAGGGGGTACTTGTTCTTGACTGTAAGGGCGTTCAACTCCCGATAGTCAATGCACATACGCATAGATCCGTCTTTCTTCTTCACGAATAGGACGGGCGCACCCCACGGCGAAACACTCGGATGAATGAAACTGAGCTTAAGCAACTCCTGGATCTGGGCCTTGAGCTCTTGAAGCTCCTTCGGCGCCATGCGGTAAGGGGCCTTAGAAACGGGGCCGGCTCCGGGAATCAAGTCAATGGTGAACTCCACCTGGCGATCTGG